ATTATTTTAATATTAATAATAAACCATTAATACATTTAATTATAATAATATTGTCGTGCCGAGAGGGGATGGAACAGAGACAAAGACACAGACGTCAGGGTATCGGGGAATACGGGGTTTAATTACAGGTAAGGCAGGCAAAACGCAGACGGACAATACAATGACCGGACTGGGGAAACAATCTGAAACGTGGACGAAATACAGAGGACTAATAACAACAACCAGATCACACGGGGATTCCACACGGGGTTAATGAGGGGGCATGGCACACGGAAGGAGCGGATGATCGGGGCAGAACACATTATTTTTTTGAACTTTACACATTGTTTGGATACATTTATTTTCTTACTTTACAAATTACTGTTTTGATAAGTGTGCTCAGATGTGTTTAGTACAGTATATGATCTTCTTGTTTTATCCGGTTCATTTTGTGTTTAAATACTAAAAAAGAACATATTGAGGCGTAATTTTTGGGGGCTAGGAACCAATTAATTGGTTTTCCATTATTTCTTATGGGGAAAATTCGATCACAACTCGAACTTTTTAGGATTCTGAACGGATTAAATTCAAGTTCTGAGGTACCACTGTATATATATGATCTATATATGTCATGCTCCCCTCTCTGTCCCCCATAACCTCTCTGTGACCCACTATCACTCACTGTCAGCCTCTGCCATGTCTTCAAACCCAACACCCAGGTCAGATGTGCTCAAAAAGCAGGACCACATCTTCCGTACCACTCAAAAACACACACCCAGCACCTCGACACACAAGCACCTGATTAGTAGTACTTGGCCATACACAACCTGGTAGGCATCTGACCTGCTTTAGAGACACCAAGTGGAGATCTGAGACAGGCTCTCACTGTATAAACACCCTAAGGATTAACATAAATGCCACACAAAGAGCGTGGGCAGAAGGTCATGAGGATCAGGGTCCCAGGCAGGAAGAAGTTCACCATCACTATGAAGTGACTGATGTCAGCAACCCAGCCCCCCATGAACAAAACATCCATCGAGATGTGAAGAATGACAACCCTTCCCCGGAGGGATTTCTATGGCAACTGGGAACCAGCAAAGAAACATCCCAGCTGAAGGAGAAACAGGTGCCATCTTTTTCTGATTCACACAGCTCCTAGGGGCACGATCCCCACATCTGCCTTCCGAGGTCTTGGATTCTGCTGTCGCAACATGAAATGCTTTGTTTCATCACCCACAGCCTCACGGGTCACTGGCTTGTGGCCAGCTGTCAGGGCGCTTTCTCTCAGTCTCCAGAAGGGGGCAGCGTCAAGCTTCATTTATATCCACCCCCCAGCCCCTGCAGGAATACTGTTGTTTCAGTCTTATTCTGCATTTCTGTCACTGAAAGAGCAATAAATTCATCCCCCAGCCACAGAATAAACTACCAGCAGGGGTCAGTAGTCTCTAACACAGCTGGGTCAAACCTAAGACCACACTGAATCACACCAAGATTAACCTTTAAAAACTGTCAATTTTGATTTTAATGCCTCTGCTCCATAGCGCACAGATGCCTATTTAAAGTCAGCAGGATGAGCAACATGTGAATGACAGCCTTAAGCAGCCCGGAGCGTTTTTCTGAGGCCGGTGCTGGAGTGAATATACAGACCCGGCCTGTGGGGAACAGAGAGGTATGAGGTTGGCACAGTGACCTCACACTGGCAGCAGGGAAATGCACATATGAAATTCTCATGCAACGGATTTGCCAAGACACTGTGACGGGGGTCAGCGCCCAGACGGTCACAGGCCTAGAGGCTGGTTACGGTTGTCTGCAGTGAAATGGCTGTAATGGCCATTGCTGAGTCACAGAGCACCATGCAGTAAGACTGTTAGCACTGCATAGACATTCGGGGGGCAGGCCGGCAGCAATGCGTGGAGGAGAGATGGGACTGAGGCGGGCCGCAGCACCCCGCCCCTTCCCCGCCTGCTCCCCAGGGGCCATTGAGGGTTGTGGTTCCTATTCCTGGTTTACACTGATGTCCAGCTTGTGCTGGTGTCACCTTAACGTTACACTGCACACAATCGCGCCATCAATAATTCATGGCTTTGTCACCTAATCTGAGCGAGTGGCGTGAGCTCCAGCCCATCCCCCCCCCCCCCCCCCCCCCTGTCCCCGAGCTCGAGGGCCGACATGTCAGACGATGACAGTGTCTCAGACAGTGTTTTTGCACAAAATCGTCTTTGTGACGGTGGGACGTATCTCCTCGTAATACACTGCAGTGAACAGAGAAGCTCAGTTTTTTCCCCCAAATTGGGGCGGGGGGGGGGGCCCCCCCCCCCCCCCCCCCCCCCCCATCCATCCCTGTCCCCGAGCTCGAGGGCCGACATGTCAGACGATGACAGTGTCTCAGACAGTGTTTTTGCACAAAATCGTCTTTGTGACGGTGGGACAGATCTCCACGTGCTTCTCTGCAGTGAACAGAGAAGCTCAGTTTTTTCCCCCAATCCGGGGGGGGGGGGGTGAGCCCCACCCCCCCCCCCCCCCCCATCCATCCCTGTCCCCGAGCTCGAGGGCCGACATGTCAGACGATGACAGTGTCTCAGACAGTGTTTTTGCACAAAATCGTCTTTGTGACGGTGG